CACTGTGATGCTGTTTGTCACCATTCTTCCCTGTGGCTGGAAAGGAACCTTTAGACCTACAAGGTGCTCTGGCTTATTGTCAAGATTCACTCAGGGTCTGATTAGTGTGGAGGACAAAAGATAAAATGAGCACTTTCTTTGGCATTTTGTGACTTGTACGGGGCCTTCAAATGGCATGAAATTTTTAGATTCCTTCCGCGGTTCCATTTATGATTGCTGTTTTTTCCTCAAAGCTGTACACAGACATCACATGTATATGTGTTTGTATTATTACTATTTATTATTTTTTAAATGTAGTGTCTGCCATTTTGGGGGCCCAGGCTCCTCATTGTCCCCTCTCCCCCACTTGCCTAGACAGAAGTGCTGAGGCAGAGGTTTGTGACGGCTTTTCCAGTTGCTCATCAGATGTAGAAAAACAAAACCAAACCAAACCGCCTTGAAACGGACATCTGTTCCCAGCTGCTTTAGGAAAAGGGAAGAAGCACGAGGTAGGGCTGTGAACTTGAACCTGCTTGGTATTGGGAATGGAACTGAAGTGAGAAAACGTCTCCCTAGTAAGTAATTCAGGTTGAAGTGGGACAGAAACAAAAGGTCAGTTGGGGAAAAAGAGACGGGATTTCTTTCCTTTTCCCCTTCCCTCTCTCCCCGTTCCCCTCTCTCCTCCCTTCCTTCCTTTGTGTGGTTGAAGAGATGTAATGATGGAGAGCCCTGAAAATGCTAAAGATGAAAGAGTTTGGCGATGAAGAGCCAAGGTCTGCGTACCAGTGTAATGAGAAAAACAAGAATTTGAATGTAGACGGCCAAGAGAAGCCAAGCCCTGTTTATTTCTGTGAAGACATTTAAAAACTGGGGGTGCTAGATTCATTCTCTGTGAGGAACAAAATAAATGTGAAACATTGCAGATTATTAGCATGCTATAAGAATATTTTATATTTGAAGGAAAGATAAAAAGGATAGAAACATGAATAAGATCCATTCATCTGTTGAATTATTTCTTTAAAAAAGGCTTCAGTGGCCAGGTAGTGCTAGGAAATAGTGACAAGTGAAGTCCCCAAAGAGAGTCATAGATCTTGTATTATGACTGTTGTTTTATGGAAAGTTTGTATAATACTGCCAAGGTGCTCGATAGACTTTGATTTGTTTTTTTTTTTTAGGATTATTATGATTTAGTGTATTGATTTTCATTAAACAAAATGTTAGTTTCTCCATTTAATTGGGGAACCTGGTGTGTTTTCACTGCTCACATTGGCCTTTGCATAGTGATTGTGGAGGCAGACCCGGGGCTGGGTGTATGCATGTCTCTGGGGATTGAAGTTAGCCTCCATGGTTAAGCTCATGTTCATGGTTAAGTAATGTCTGAGCCTTTTGAGCCGTCACTCGCTAGTTGGAAGGAAATTGAAAACGGCTCCTTGAAGAACACATTTTTTTATTGCAAAGCATAAGTATGATGAAGGGGTGACTAGGTTTTTCTTAAGTTTTTCTTTTGACTTGATAACTTTTGCCAACAAAGATGAAATAGCTCTCTGTAATTTTAAGAGTCTTTGGTAGTAAAGGAAATGTTTTGTCTGTGTCATAGGAGGGAATAAAGTGATCATGTGATACACCTGAGTTCTTTCAATTTCCTTTTCTATAAACAAGCCTAGCTTCCGCCTCCCACCCCCTACCCCGATATTTTCAGTGTCTTTGGGTGAAAGAACATTCTATATTAAGCATAAATGCTGTTAGTGAACTATAGGTTATTCAAATGGGGCTTAATTTTAAATTAAAAAGACTGTTCGTGCCTTTGAAAGAAGATATATTTTACAGAGTATAAATGAAATGAAAGACATTGTTACAATAACTAAAGCTGATTCTGTTTGAAAATCAAGCTGTTAAGGCAAGCTAAAATTTTGAGATCCTTTAATGTTATCTTTTAAGACAGAGGACTGAGATTTTTTTAGGTAATGTTTTGAAGCAAAAGAATCTATTTTAAAAAGAGTAGTACTTAGGAATTGGGGTGAAAAATGAAGAAAATTTTCAAATATAAACATTTCTCTTTGTACTTGATATAACTGAGGAATGAAGTGGGAGTTAAATATTTTTTTCCCTCCCGAGTGGAAAATTCGCTCTTGCCTTCCAGATTGTGGGAAGGTAATGAGTAATAGGACAGTGTGATTGTGGGTATGAAAACCATCTCTATAAACCAAAAAAGAAGTGTGAAGTTACAGAGAGTGGTGTTTATGACATGAATTATACAACGCCGGAGAGGTGAACCTACCCGCACAGTGATCTTGGGTTTCAGAAAATGCGAGGTGCTGTCCCTCGGCCACCTGCACTCAGGCTTTTCTGTCCATCGTGCATTTTCAGCTTAGAGTCAGGATTCCGTCAGGTGAGCTAGGCGGGCTGACTCATAGTTTTTTAAAACCACTGCAACTTCACTTTGAACCTCTTCGGAATATCCCGCTGTTTCACCCCTGGGTTCACTCTCCCCTCAGAGAAAACGTCATTCTTAGGTGATTGATCTAGAGCAGGCCGTGTGGTTAGATTACTACAGAGAAAGTGTTGCTCCTGCATGTGAAATGTCTTAGGGGGCTGCAGGCTGGGCGGTTCCTCCCTGGGGTTTTCCAAGCCTTAACTTGACTTGGGCAGATAGGAGACAATACGGGCAGCATGGTGGGCATCATCCTACCACTGACTGAACGATGTATTAGTGCTGCTGCCGCCCTGGGGGAGTACCTGTGCGTAGATAAATTGGGGAGTTGCCTCGCTGTGTGTAGAGAAGGAGATAATAAGAATCATGTATTAGGCGACAACTACATATCTATCAACAGTTACTTTAAATGTCAACAGATTAAATGCTCCAATCAAAACACACAGGAGGGCTGAATGGATAAGAAAATCAGACTCTTACATATGCTGCCTACAAGAGTCTCACTTCAGATCGAAAGACACAGACTGAAAGTTATGGGATGGAAAAAGATATTTAATGAAAATGGAAATGAAAGAAAAAATGCTGCGTTAGCAATACTTATACCAGATAAAATAGACTTTAAAACAAAGGCTATAACATGAGACAAAGAAGGACCCAGTAATCCCATTTTTGGGTATTTATCCAAAGAAACCCAGAACACTACTTCAAAGGGACATGTGCATCCATATAGTTCATTGCAGCATTATTTACAATGGCCAAGATGTGGAGGCAGCCTGGGTGTCCATCAGTAGATGAATGAAGAAGAGGTGGTACATAATACAATGGATTATTAATCCACTATAAAAAAGAATGACATCTTGCCGTCTGCAACAATATGGATATGGACCTAGAGGGTATTGTGCTGAGTGGAGTAAGTCAGATAGAGAAAGACAAATGTATGATTTCACTTATATGTGGAATCTAGAGAACAAGATAAATGAACAAACCAAACAGAAATAAGTCCATAGATACAGAGAGCATTTTGAGAGTTACCAGCTGGGAAAGGGTTTGGGAGGATGGATGAAAAAGGGGAAAGGATTAAGACGTATTAACTGGTAGTTACAACATAGTCATGGGGATGTAAGTACAGCATAACAAATATATTCAGTAGTTTTGTAATAATTATGTATGGTGTCAGGTGAGGACTAGATTTATCGGGGTGGTCACCTCATAAGTTGTATAAATGTCTAATCCGTATGTTGTACACCTGAAACTAATAATATCGTATGTCGACTGTAATT